GCAGAGAGAGAGGAGGAAGCAGGCTCCCTGCTGAGCAGAAAGCCCGATGTGGGGCTTGAACCAGGACCCTGGGATCATGACCTGAGCCCAAGGCAGATGCTTAACAATTGAGCCACCCAGGCGCCCCCACATTTTGCTCTTAACCCATACTCTGTTGTCTTATCAAGAGGATGCATACTCCATTTGCAAATAAGATTATGAAGTCTTTGAGGACAGGGGCTAAGTATGTAAGTTTTCTGAAATCCCCTTTTTTTTAAAGATTTTATTTATTTATTTGACAGAGAGAAATCACAAGTAGGCAGAGAGGCAGGCAGAGAGAGAGGAGGAAGCAGGCTCCCTGCTGAGCAGAAAGCCCGATGTGGGGCTTGAACCCAGGACCTGGGATCATGACCTGAGCCGAAGGCAGCGGCCCAACCCACTGAGCCACCCAGGCGCCCCGCAAAGAGGGTTTTAAAGCACTGTTTGTAAACTTTTGCAGTCCTATTGAAAATGCACCTTCTCAATGGGAGGCAGATAGAGTAATATTTAATCCAAGATCATTTCTAAGTTAATCACAAAATATATGTTAATTGAAAAAAATGAACTTGAAGCATAACATATATCATTGTAAAGTTAAACTTTTATTTTAAATATTGAGAAACTTTTTTGTTTGTTTATACTTATTTCTCTTCAGTCCTCATTCCCTTCTTCCTCACCAGAATCAAACAAAAAACCTGATTGCAAATTCTTCCAAAAGCTCAGGCTGAAAAAACTTCCTATGTTGCGGTAATATCTTTTCAAAAGGCTACATATCTACTTGCATTCTCCTTTTTGCTTTGGCTATCAGGAGCTTTAGAATTAGGACAGGGTTTTCAATGAAAGTCATCATGACTTTCCAACACGGCCTATAAAAAAAAAAAAAAACTTTCGGTGTACTTTTTCCGTATTTATTACTTAATGTGATCTCTGTCCTCTGTTAAGGCTCAGTCTTATGTATTTTTGCAGTAAGTCACTTTGGATTCTTCTTGGAAATAAGGCACAATCATAAAAAGGAATATAATTCAACCATCTGTCCTCTTTCCAGTTTAAAAAATGAACAACAACAACAAAAAATATAGTAATCCAGCATTGCCAGTATTGCCATTCCATACAAAATGT